TAATTTCCATCTCAAATCAGAATGAACCTCCAACGTTAGAAATATGAGTAAAAAAAATGTTTAGTAAGAATTTGCCAATTCTAATTAAGAACTGTTAATCAAACTGTAAAAGCAACATATGAGTTTTTCCCAACTTCAAACAGAGAACCACCAGCAAGAATAAAATTGGAAATGGAAGAGACCAAACAGACCATGAAGATTACACAATCAGAAGATGATATATTTGAAGAAGAAGAGTTCATTACACAGTGTGATGACAGCCGATCAGCAGCAGAAACTGAGAAGAGCGAAGAACTTGGCCTCAGATTTTCTCCATAATAATTGAAAAAATAAATAAACTTAACATGTAGGAATGATGCTGTTATTTTCTCCAGACAATAAACATCATCTCTTAAAATATTAAAAATAATGTATGTGCATTTCATTCATATTTCTATTCACATCATAAACGTAAACCTCAAAACACAACTCATGGAACAACTTTTCTTACTAAACCCTAGAACAAATTTTAAAAATTTTAAAATAGTTCTCATCTTTTGTTTTCTTTACTAAATTCATTCATGCGTTTCTTAAATTTAAATTCAGTTTATAAATTTTCAAATCAATCTTTAGAAAATAATCTTTTATGTAATTATTTAAAATATGCTGTATAAAACATACTTATTGCTTCCACTTAAGAAAACTGATAACACAAAATGAATTAAACTGAAGCCAAATTAGCACAGAAGCATATCAACGTTGCATTGTCACAGGTACAACATTAGCAACGTTTCTTTACTGATTCAAACATAAAAATGAATCAATTAAAAGCGTTTAAAAATGAAATAACACTTCAATCAAACGCATAAACAAAAGCAAACGTTAGGCGTTGGAAAATGACATTGGGAAAAAAGCTATGTTAAATATTGTAGGTATTATATTTACAATTAATCTCTATTTTTAAATAAATGAAAATATATTAAATTCATAATAATATGCATAAACATTTTATTTCCTCAATCTCTCTGTTGGTAAACTTCTTTTTCCACCACACTAAATACTAAAGCTCTGCAATCAAAGCTAAAAAAAAGCATCGAAAAACCACACTTAACCCAAGTCCCACGCTGCTCAAAGATTTCATCTTTGTCATCAAATCTCATAAAAAAGCTACTGATATCACATCAACACTACCTAAAAAAAAATACATTTTTGCTCCCCATCATTTAATGTGGTGTATCATCATCCTATTTATTTGAATTTTAAGATTTGTACTTATCCATTACACGAATCTCGAAATTTAAACTCATTTAACGATGATTAATAAGACGGTGAGCAGAGACATTCTTCTCGTGGGAGTAAATCTGCGCCATCGTCGACCTCACAACGGTCTCAGTTTCTGGGCAAATCTCGCGGTAGAAATCATATTCAAGATCCGATTGACCTCTATCATTCATCTCCTCCATGACGAAATCTTGGCCACCATCTGAAAAAGCGAGAGAAACCAGACTGACCAGTGGTTCTTGGGCGGAGGAGGAGGTGGAGAGAAGCAGGGAAACACGAAGGATTGATGCAGGGAGAAAAGCACACAAAAAGAGAGGAAGAAAATGGAAGAGCCTTCGAGCACCTTCCCCACCAAAAACGAAAAGGGAGGGTGGATAACCGTTGGAATCAGATTAACATGTCGACATTGCTTAGAAGCAAACGGACACGTGGGTATCGATGAGGGAAAGGAATGGGAAGGCTGAACAGCACAAATGAAACGCTAGGCCAAAAAGGGTAAATCCGCCACTTCGCTGTACAGAAACAGAAAAAAATAGAACTCCAAAGAGTAATTGGAGGACAATTTCGGTAGTTCACTGTTATGAACAGTATTTTTATGTTGTGAACTGTGTGTATAATTTATGGTCTTCAACTTATTGACCTGAGTGTGAATTCTCTGGGAGGGAAAATTCCACCCTCTATAGGCTAACTCATGGAGCTCCGGTACCTTGATCTTTCATTCAACTCTGTAAATTCTTCAATCCCTTCCGAGCTCGGTCTTTGGACAGACCTCACCTATTTGTCCGTGGCTTCCAATAAACTCACAGGGGAATTGCCCATGTCCTTGTCCAATCTAAACAACCTCGTCCAATTGGTTTTGGCTATCAGTCTATTTACTGGTCAAATCCTTCCGTCTCTTGTCTCCAATTGGACTAATATGGTCTCTTTGCGACTTCAATCCAATAGCTTTAGTGGAACCATTACAGCAGAAATTGGGCTCTTGACACAATTGCAGTATCTAGGCCTTGATTCCAATGAACTCAGTGGGGAGATTCCGACAGAGGTTGGAAATATGTACATTCTATCGATCCTCAATCTAAGCAGGAACCACTTGACAGGAGTGATCCCTCGGAGTCTAGACTATTTGTCATTTCTTCATGACTATGATTTTTCTTATAGCAACTTGACTGGCCTAATCGCAACCGTTTTCCAAACGGCAACAACAAATATTTTTGTTGGAAACGCTGGCTTATGTGGGGGGGGATGTAGAAGGACTAAATAGTCTATGTGATTCCCCCAGAAGAAATTCCGAAAAGAATAACAAAAGAGTTCTAATTGGTGTCCATGTATCTCTTTGTGGTTTATTAATGGTTACAACTGTCATTGGTCTTATGTTCCGTAAGAAACCTGGTCTCGTTTTGAACATAGTCAACACTTCCGAAAACTTTGAGAGTTTGGAGTCCACGATATTGCAAGAGGAATTAAAGTTCACGTTTGCAGAAGTTGCGAAGGCTGTAGATGACTTTCATGAAGTACTGCATTGGTAAAGGAGGGTTTGGAAAGGTTTACAAGGCAGAGCTGCAATCAGGCCAAGTTATTGCAGTTAAAAGGCTTAGCATGTCAAACTCCAATGACATTCCAGCAATCAACCTCCAAAGCTTTCAGAATGAAATCCGAACTTTGACTAGTATTCGGCACCGGAACATCATGAGGATTTATGAATACTTAAAGAGAGGAAGCCTGGGAAAAGCTTTGTATGGAGCTGAAGGTGTCAATGAACTCGGCTGGCCTAACAGAGTCAAAATTGTGCAAGGACTTGCTCAAGCACTTTCTTACTTGCACCATGATTGCTCTCCACCAATTATGCACCGTGACGTAACGGTCAACAATGTATTGCTTGAGTCAGATTTCGAGGTCCGTCTCTCAGATTTTGGAATAGCGAGGTTATTAGGTACTAATTCATCCAACTAGACAAATATTGCTGGTCATTTGGCTTACATAGCACCAGGTAATTTAAATTTAATTTGTATTTATGGTTCATCTTTTTGCTTATTGGGATTTGTTTTAAGGTGGCTAGTTTTGATTTTATTGACACGCAAAGCTTGCATACACTATGCGAGTCACGGATAAATATGATGTATATAGCTTTGGAGCGGTGGCACTAGAAGTCATGATGGGAAGGCACCCAGGGGATATGCTAGAGTCCCAACTACAAGAATCATCAAAATCGAGGAGGAGCAATGTAGAATTGCTCCTGAAAGATTTGTTAGACCAAAGGTTGGAGCCGCCAACAAATGCATCTGCAAAGGCAGTGGTGCTAGTAGTGACAATTGCCTTGGCCTGTATAGAACGCATCCTGCGTCCAGACCGACGATGGTATTTGCGCACAAAAACTCCCAGACCGACGTAGGCAGCTGGGATTGGGTGCTCCGGGGCAAGCCTGTACTCAACAGAGACGGCAACAACATTGACCTCGGAGACTAAGGAATTAAGGTAGTTGTGATACGTGGGGGAGGAGGCGCTTTGGATGCAGAAGCCACCGCCGTGAAAGTAAACGGGAAGAGGGAGTTTGGTGGCAGCGGATTTGGGGATGTAAAGCCTTACAGATATTGCTGGTTGTTGGGAGATGACAATGTCTTTGGATTGCACTCCGGTTTCGGGTTGTGTTGATGGAGGAACTGTGGCTGTGCCTAGGAGTCTCTCGACTCGACCGTCTTTGTATACTTTGATCATTGGAGAAAAGTCATAAGACAGTTCTTCATTGCTCATGTTTTGGATTTTCAACTTCAATGAAGAAAGTAGAAGAATAAGAAACAGCTATGTAGGCCTCTATCTCTCTCTGTCTAGCTTATGCAGCCGACAGCCTCATGCATTATTAGTTTTAACAGGACGTAGGCCATGGAATTTCAATGGACACAGTTGCCACAGCTGTCAAAGAAGAAAGATATGATGCTAGCTAGCCAGACAGTTTCAACAACTCTGGATGGCACGCAGCTCTAGTGAAATTTTATCCCCTTAATTTTGGGTCCCATAACAATTTTATACTTCATCTTTTAAACATTATAATGTTACACATCAACTTACAAAATCGTTATAATATCAAACATCTGTTAAATTTTCTATCAATTTAACTATTAAATGATAACGTGGTAAATATAAGGTCCACATTTACACCGACGTGGATGCCCATTATGCACCATGGGAATAAAAAACAAATAAAAAATTTAATTCATAAATTTTTCAAATAATGTGATATAAAAACATGGTATGAATAACATTACTATATGTTTTATGAGCTTTATGTATGTTTTCTTGAACAATATTTCTCATAATCTCAATTAATTTTTCGATTACCATTGAAAGATCATTCATGTAACAATTTACTGAAAGCAAAAATCGTTTAGTTATCTAATTGCGACATGACAATTAAATAAATGAAAACAGATTTATCAATACTATACATATAACTTTGTGTTCTAATGTTAAATTTGAACATATCAAATTTGGTGTAAATTATAACATTCATTGATTACTTACAGAATGGTGTGAAGGATCCTTATAAGGTGGACGCAATGAGAATACAACATCATAAATCCTATAAATGAACAGTGTTCGGGGAGGATTTCACTTTATTTACAAAATTGCCACCAACCCTCTGGTGCCATTCAGATTGATAATTTCTATTTATTAACGAAATTGCCACCGCTTTGCCACCAACCCTCTGGGGATGTTTTCTTGACTTTTACCACTTTGGTCGTGGCTTCCACTCAAATTTTAATTTAATTTAATTTAACTTTTTTGGGTATTATAGAAAATTAAGTATATAGTTTGCCGTTATAGTTTGGTCCTTTTTATGCAGTAGATAGTAGAAAAATGACCAAAAGTAGCTTCATGCAAGCACATGAGTTTGGTAAGCTTTGGTGTTCATGCTTTGTGTATAGTCTACTGAATTTATATCAGTTTCAGAATTTATAATTGTGATGTTTATAAGTCTACGGAGTCAGTTGCATAATTGTGCGGCATTTTTACATGCAGAGAAGAGACGTGCTGAGTCTCACTCCGGCATTCAGCCCTCCGTTCCTCTCATGATCTCTCACACCCTCTCTCTAATTTCAGAACAATATGAAGCAGCTCGAGCTCTCTGTGCATTGAATCAATGGCAGTCATCTAGAGGTGATTTTTCTTTGCCTTTTTGTATGGTTAGTGGATTATTAGGTTAATTTGGGTAGTGAAGGTTCTGTTTTGGCTTAATTTCGATTTTCAACTCTTATAAAATATTGGGTTTTAGGGATTTCTTCTTAGTGATCATCTTCATATTCGATTGGTGATTTGGCGTGTGGATTGTCTACTTCTTTGATGAAAACGCTCACCGTTGGGACTAATATAGGTTTCTCATATTTTCTTGCACCATTTGTGAGGGATTTAATTTTCCTTTTCTGGGTTTTCTTATACTCAAGGTACGGTTTACATTCTGGAATTCATGATTCAATTGGAAACCACAATGACATATCAACGTGTGTTGTATATTCATACGAAACAAGTAAGCTCTTATTTACCATTCAGCTTTCATTGACATTGGATTCTGATTTACCTTCTAAATGCGGATTTTGAACTTTGCACAAGTTGTAGTTTTGTCTTTTCAAATTTCAGCAAATATTAGGAAAAGCATAAAACCAATTGTTTGTTAGGAAATATATCTAGCACGGATATGAGTAACGTTTTTTTCAGTTTCAATTTCCATTAAATTAAAGATTTTATGCCTAATATTTCATAAAGTTCAGAATTGCTAACCGCAGTGTATGATTGTTATAGTGGAAACCAGTGAACTTATAGGCTTAATGGGCTTACAATAAGCTAATAGTGCTATATTTTCCCTCTCCCTATATGTAGTTTAATATAATTGAACAAGTTCAAAGAGAATGATCAGAATGAAGGTTCGTATTAGATCCGATGGGCTTCCTCTTTCTATGCATTTTGGTTCAAATTAGGGTTTTAGGTGGAAACCTGAAATGAAAAGAGAATAAAATTTGAAGGATCCTCTGATTTTGTGTTTGGATGAGAGGAAAAGATGAGAAATTTGTTAAGAAAAGTTGGTTGTGGTGAAATTTCATTCTTTAAAATCCATCAGATTATGCTTAAATTGTTAAATGTAGTTGTTATTGTTAGCTAATTCATGTTTTTAGTCTTCAATTAAATTTATTGTTTCCCTTGCTTGATTATACTTGCAGCTACTAATCCTGGAAGTTTCAATAACAGCGTCGCTGGCCAGCAGGTGAATACTAACCAAATTTTATCTAGCATTGAACCATTTCTTAAGATCTGATTCAGTTTTATTTAAGGAATTTGAAACCTTCACCTTGAACCATTTCTTATCATAATTCATGGGTTGCTAGCGCAAATATAGTGCAATCTAATGTTTTGATGCATACTTGATTCGGTCTCAAATGCGATATGTTGTAATTCTTTCTAATTTCATTGTTTACCTATCTTTGTGTGGATCAGGCGGTACTAGAAACAGTTGCAAGAGTAAAGTCGAAGAAAAATTAGACGAAAGAAGAAAAGTACATGCTTCTAACTTAAATTCAGAACAGTTTTTCATATATTCTTTGTCAATTGAATCTAGCCATTATGGCCTGTTCTCACCAACTATGTTGTAGTATAAATTGGTCATTTTAACTACATGATGTTTTCAATCTGGATAATGATAATAGAGGAGAAGATACACATACACCAACACTGATTGATCGCAATGTAAGATTGCTTCATGGAAAATATAATTGCTCTGGTTATTTATCTCAACGGTCCTAAATGTAACTTTGCTATTAATATTTTTAGGACAATGTCTTCATAATATCAAATTTTAAATCAAAATATCCAGTGCTGCAACTAGACTTGATGTAAACTTACTGGCTCATTACAGTTTTGTTAAGTTCATTGGTCTTCTCTTAACAAAAAATGCTGATTTTGAACTGATCTACCGGTTTCATTGTAGATTAATATCAGATTTGGTGGTCGTTATTGTATCTGCAACCTGTGGTGGCATTGCCTTTGCTTGCTCTGGACAACCGATCTGATACATACATTCATAGGTACATACACGTGTACATATATTTCCAAACTTATTGAACTTATAAAGAAAACTTAATGCTGTGATCTTACTTAATGTTCATATTCTGCTTCCTTCATACCAAAACTTGACATGTTATTAGTGAATATTTGCTAGCTGGATCCATTATGGACCTTGGAGGTTTCAACTTCTTCAGTGAAATGGTTCAAGTATGTTTTACCCTGCACTTTTATTATCCAAGAAGAAATTCTTGAAATCCAAAAGTGTGCTTATATATATTCAGGGTATGGTTGCTTCCTCCTCCAAAACCAAAAGTGTACTTATATATATAAGCAACAGGAAGAATTGCTCAGATACGAGTAAGTGAGGCTTTTTTAGGTCGTATTTTAAATGCACTGGCTAAGCCTATTGATGGTTGGGGTGAATTGCCGCATATGAAATTGAGCACAATTTTGCATAGCCCACTTGTTTCTCGAGAAGAGATGGGAAACATGCTCAATTTTCATGCCTTTGATGTTTTGGTTCTTTCTGAACCTAGAATTAGTGTATCCAAAGCTTTGGACGTTGTCAAGACTTTGGGCTTTTCTGGTAGCTTCATAGTTGATGCAGTGGGTTTTTACACTACTAATTTTGTTAGTACTAGGGAAATAGTTGATTTTTCTACGTGTATATATATATATATATATATATATATATATATATATATGGGTTCGATTACAAAATTCTGTAGATTGAAAATGATACTTTATGTTGTCATTTTCTGTATGGTTTTCTTCAATTACTTGTTTTGGGTTTGTTTCTTTCCCGAGAATAAGAAGGAAACAGGAAAAACATAATATTGGACAGTTGATTATTTATCTTGGAGTGTTATATTTATCCAAGGCATCCAAGGGGAATTAGGTACTTAATTAATTGATTACCTTATTGAATTTCTTTGATTTTTCTGAAAGAATTTGTTTTTTTTTTTTTTCCTGGGGTTTGGATATTTTCTTGACCACTTTGGTCGTGGCTTCCACTCAATTTTTAATTTAATTTAATTTAATTTTTTTGGGTATTATAGCAAATTATATATAGATTACCATTATAGTTTGGTCCTTTTTATGCAGTAGATTGTAGAAAAATGACCAAAAGCTGCTTCAAGCAAGCACATGAGTTTGGCAAGTTTTGGTGTTCATATGCTGAATTTGTTTATGTTTTGTGTATAGTGTATTCAATGTATATCAGTTTCAGAATTTATAATTGTGATGTTTATAAGTCTACGGGGTCAGTTGCATAATTGTGCAGCATCTTTTATATGCAGAGAAGAGGCGCTGAGTCTCACTCCGGCATTCGGCCCTCCGTCCTCTCATAATCTCTCGCATCCTCTCTCTAATTTCAGAACAATATGAAGCAGCTCGAGCTCTCTTTGCATTCAATCAATGGCAGTCATCTAGAGGTGATTTTTCTTTGCCTTTTTGTTGGGTTAGTGGATTATTAGCTTAATTTGGGTAGTGAGGGTTCCGTTTTGGCTTAATTTCGATTTTCAACTCTAATAAAATATTGGGTTTTAGGGATTTCTTCGTAGTGATTATCTTCATATTCGATTGGTGATTTAGCGTGTGGATTGTCTACTTCCTTGATGAAAACTCTCACCGTTGGGACTAATTTAGGTTTCTCATATTTTCTTGCACCATTTGTGAGGGATTTAATTTTCCTTTTCTGGGTTTTCTTATACTCAAGGTTCGATTTACATTCTGGAATTCATGATTCAATTGGAAACCACGATGACAGATCAACGTGTGTTGGATATTCAGACAAAACAAGTAAGCTCTTATTTACCATTCCGCTTTCATTGACATTGGATTCTGATTTACCTTCTAAATGCAGATTTTGAACTTTACACAAGTTGTAGTTTTGTCTTCTCAAATTTCAACAGATATTAGGAAAAACATAAAACCAATTGTTTGTTAGGAAATATATCTAGCACGGATATGAGTAATGTTTTTTCAGTTTCAATTTCCATTAAATGAAAGATTTTATGCATAATATTTCATAAAGTTCGGAATTGCTAACTGCAGTATATGATCGTTATGGCATGTATAGTGGAAACCAGTGAACTTATAGGCTTAATGGGCTTACAATAAGTTCAAAGAGAATGATCAGAATGAAGGTTCGTATTAGATCCGATGTGCTTCCTCTTTCTATACATTTTGGTTCAAATTAGGGTTTTAGGTCGAAACCTGAAACGAAAAGAGAATAAAATTTCAAGGATCTTCGGATTTTGTGTTTGGAAGAGAGGAAAAGATGAGAAATTTGTTAAGAAAAGTTGGTTGTGGTGAAATTTCATTCTTTAAAATCCATCAGATTATGTTTAAATTGTTAAATGCAGTTGTTATTGTTAGCTAATTCATGTTTTTAGTCTTAAATTAAATTTATTGTTTCCCTTGCTTGATTATACTTGCAGCTACTGATCCTGGAAGTTTCAATAACAGTGTCGCTGGCCAGCAGGTGAATACTAAACAAATTTTATCTAGCATTGAACCATTTCTTAAGATCTGATGCGGTTTTATTTAAGGAATTTGAAACCTTTACATTGAACCATTTCTTATCGTAATTCATGGGTTGCTAGTGCAAATATAGTGCAATCTAATGTTTTGCTGCATACTTGATTCGGTCTCAAATGCAATATGTTGTAATTCTTTCTAATTTCATTTTTTACCTATCTTTGTGTGGATCAGGCGGTACTCGAAACAGTTGCGAGAGTAAAGTCGAAGAAAAATTAGACGAAAGAAGAAAAGTACATGCTTCTAACTTAAATTCAGTACAGTTTTTCATATATTCTTTGTCCTTTGAATCTAGCCATTATGGCCTGTTCTCACCAACTCTGTTGTAGTATAAATAGGTCGTTTCAACTACATGATGTTTTCAATCTGGATAATGATACTAGAAGAGAAGATGCACCAACACTGATTGATCACAATGTAAGATTGCTTCATGGAAAATATAATTGCTCCAGTTATTTATCTTAACGGTCCTAAATGTAACTTTGTTTGTAATATTTTTAGGACAATGTCTTCATAATATCAAATTCTAAATCAAAATATCCAGTGCTGCAACTAGACTTGAGGTAAACTTACTGGCTCATTACAGTTTCGTTAAGTTCATTGGTCTTCTCTTAACAAAAAATGCTGATTTGAACTCATCTACTTGTTTCATTGTAGATTACTATCAGATTTGGTGGTCGTTATTGTATCTGCAACCTGTGGTGGCATTGCCTTTGCTTGCGCTGGACAACTGATCTGATACATACATTCATAAGTACATACGCATGTACTTATATTTCCAAACTTATAGAGAAAACGTAATGCTATGATCGTACTTAATGTTCATATTCTGCTTCCTTCATACCAAAACTTGACAGCTCATTAGTGAATATTTGCTAGCTGGATCCGTTATGGACCTTGGAGGTTTCAACTTCGTCAGTGAAATGGTTCAAGTATGTTTTACCCTGCAATTTTAGTATCCAAGAAGAAATTCCAATTCCAAAAGTGTGCTTATATATATTCAGGGTATGGTTGCTTCCTCCTCCAAAACCAAAAGTGTACTATATACACTACTAATTTTGTTAGTACTAGGGAAATAGTTTATTTTTCTACTTGTATGTGTGTGTGTGTGTGTATATATATATATATGGGTTTGATTACAAAATTCTTTAGATTGAAAATCATACTTTATGTTATCATTTACTTGGTACATGAAGATGTTTTATTTTGAAAATGAAAGGTACACTATACTTGGAAAAAAAATCTTGAGACTGTTGGGGTGTGCCTATGGATGCTAACTTGGTTCTTAGAGACTGTTTTGCATTGCTTCTTTCGTTACTACGTTATATGATATGGAGGACATAATTTTTTTATTTATCATTTTGAAGGTTTCCTGGACCCCTGATTTTTGAATGTGCAAGTCATCAAGAGAAAATCAAGAATGTAAGCTCAGCTCAAGAAGGTTTATATTTTTGCAAGTCCATTTTTCTTTTGCTGCAATTAGATAACTAAACGGTTTTATAGTCTCAAATGTAAGCTCAGCTCAAGAAGGATAAGAACAAAAATTGACCTTCTAAAACATACGTAAAGTTTTATAGTTTCCGGATACAAAATGTCCATATAAATAAAATCTTTTACTGTCAAGTCTTAGTAATTCTGGTATAACTAATTAATGTCTTTTTCTGGGTTTGTCTGCCATTAGTGTTATGATTTGTTCTAGCTAATGGACTATCTGCAAATGTTATGGTTTTCATAGTGGTATTTATGTAGTCTTTCTCTCTCAACTGGGTTTTCTCTGTTGCTGGCCCAATTCACTCTGCTGCAGATTGTTCCCATTTTTCACTTTCGTTGAGGTAAAAGCTCAAATCTGTGTATTTTTGTGTTCAACAAGTTGGTAGGGCAAATTGTACTTTGCTCTGCATATGAGCAATGTCTAAGTTTTACCTATTTTAATAATGCTTGGTTTGTACTTCTTGATTTTTAATTTGTTTTTTTTTTTGTATTGAGTTGGACAGACAGTTCATAGGTTTGGTTCCATATTTATTCAGAGAAGAAGAACACAAAGAGGGCAACGCAATAACCCTAGCACGATTATGTATGGAATGAATTAAATCTATTAAAGAATTATATTTTGGGTGTGTTGTTAGGAAGAAACACCTACACTCCAAATATTTATGAATTGGATTCATTATAAAATAGGTTAATTGTATGCGTTACTTCTTTTAGCACTGAATCTTTTGTTAAATTTCATTTTTGTTGACTTTTAGTTTTTGACTTTCCTTTGGCAGGACTTTTAATTAAGCATGCATCTTTGGTGTAATACAATTATATTCTTGAGGTTTGGATATTTTACTCTTACTTTTCTGCCCATTATATGTTTGACTATCTATCTTTTGGCTTATTATCAATGAAAATTTATTATATGAGGATTTTGACTATTGACTTATCATTGGTATATTGGTTAAAGGTTAGTTTAAGAGAGAATAAAAGAAAGATTTGTTTTCACAGATGAAATTAATCAAATGTCCCAGGCTCTACAGTTCCCTCTCGGTATGCACTATGGACATTATTCAAGAAATTGATGGTTGTTTTAGCATAGTGAGATTGCCGTTGTAAGGTTTAAGGATTATGCTTTTAGTTTTCTCTTTAACCAGTTCAATGCTAGAAATACGGATTTGCATTTTCTTGATTTGAATTTGTATTAGCATAGTGAGATTTCCGTTGTACGGTGGGTTTTCTTTTTGGCAAGTTTGTGTTTCTTATTCGCATTCATGATTCTGTAATCATTTACATTTGCATGTTATCTCATAAATTGGATGTGAATATATTTATTGTATTTGAACTTTTTTAGACAAGCAAATGATTTGATTGATAACTTAAAGTTGATTTTTTTTTTCTTTATGTCTACATATTACAGGGGCAACGAGGATGGGGGTTGAAGTCGAACGCTTGCATGGGACAAATTCGAAGATTATTCAGTAAGTCACTGATTAAGTCAGATTAAACTGCCTTCATTTCTTTTTGTGTCCATGGTCTAATTTTACTTGGATGATTTAATTCTATGGGATGATTTCTTCTAGGTTTTTTCCATTTTGTATTTTAAATATGTTTTAAGGTTGAAGGAGGGGGCGATGGAATTCTGGATGCTGAAGAGAAGAAGCCTGGTATTGTTTCTTCTTTCTTTTTAAGTGAGCATCTCTTTCTTTTCTTCTAACTTTGCTTCTTTCCTTTTGTTGTCGAATGTTTCAAAATTTCAACTCACATGTTCGTGTGCTTTGTTGAGGAGTGTTTTTTGCCATTACTAGGCCATTATTCTGTCTTTTCGATAATTGTTTCTTTATTTTTTTTCGTATTATTTTTCGCAAAACCAAATCATATAGCAAAAAGCTTTTTCAAACAGACTTTTTTAAATCTGTTGCGAAATGGATGATGCAATAAAAAAATATGATGAGAGTATCTTTGCACGCTATAATAGGTTTTCTTTTTGGCAAGTTTGTGTCTCATTCGCATTCATGATTCCATTATCATTTACATTTGCTTCTGCATGATTACTCATAAATTGGATATCATTGTATTTTAACTTTTTTAGCCAAGCAAATGATTGCATTGAACAACAGATGCATCAATTACATGCTGCAAGTGTACGATGGCTAAAAGGCATTACGGTGCCTTCAAATGATCACTTTGTTTTATTTTTTTGGATTTTTGACAGGTTACATTAGATTTTATTATTGTTTATTTGATGAAGTTCTCGATTAAGAGCAGTTGCACTTGCATTATTGTTCAGGACTAGCAACTGTAATAGTACAGTGTGGCAGATTGTCTTATTTACGTCTGAATTTGAATGGTTTACTGTATCATATAGGAAAGATGAAAAGGGAATATGAGATGATATTGGAGAAAGCTTTGCAAAGCGTCTGCCTGCTAAATTCAGATACCATAACTTCTGTTATTGTTTAGGTGAGGTGTTCTGTTTGTATGAAAATTTGAGTCTCAAATATTTTAAGCGTTGTGTCAACAACTTGAGATGGTTGTAAAGCAATGCATGTAGCGTTGATACCTTTTACTTTACACGCGTATTTGTTTCGTTTGAACTAAACTTGCAGTGTACATATTTTTGCCAAAGATAAATGAAGGCCCTTGGAGCCTGATATTCTTTGTTAGAATTTCTATTACAAAATTGAGGAGGGATCCTGTCCATTTATGCTTCTATTTAGTAAGATTGGGGTGGTAAAGATTTCTGGGGTGTTTTCGAACTGCATTCATTTCTTGCAAGGCGCATTAAGAAGCGTTTTTTCAGTTGCACATTATGGTAGCACTTCGTTTTGATTTGTAAACAAACTATGTGCTTTATCTTTGTCTGGGGTTAACATTATAATGTTTGACAATTGAATTTATAAGATGGTTAAGCAATTTTTTCATGAGCTTGCTATTCCTGCCAAATGCTCAAGTATTGTGTCTTCTACTTTTCTATTTTCCTTTTGTGATTTTCATCAAGGTATCTTTGTTCATCAGTCCTAGTATATTGCAGATCTTCTGCACAAAACTGATATGCTTCATTGCATGCGCTGCCTCACTCCTTGTCATCCAAATCATAAGTTGTTAAATCATGGTATTCTTCTGTTTTGGATCCTAGTCTCTACAGGAGCATCGTTGGGGCAGTGGGTGATTACTTGAAACTATGGGTATAATATTGATGACACACTATGATCTGCAAATGAATGTTTCTTATAGTACGCATATCCATGTATAGCAAGCAAAGTATCACTTAATTGGTTCTTAGGTACTGTACTGTCATTTCAGTTACTTTGTGTAGAAACTATTCATGCATGTTCCGACTAATACATTCAACCCCCGCAGCGAAGCGTGGACACATTTTCTAGTGGTCCCTAAACTACTGCTATGTAAATCGTTGATAGAGATAATTACAATCACAATATCAATTACGACAAATAGGAAAATCAAACCAAAAAAGAAAGTATCTCAACAGAACACTTGTGTGTAATTGGTTATTTATGCAAGTACGAATTCCACATTACTAAACACAATTTGCAACACTCTGTAGTAATCAGGGTGGTGCAGATATCAATTACATGTTTAAGAAGTTTGTTGTCAACATTAAGAAAAAAAATTATAAAATAAAATAAAATTCCATAACTTTTCCTTATTTGATAGACTGCTCGTAGCAAGAATTCTAATGTGAAGTTGGAGCTGCATGTTCTCTATTTTCTTCTAGTTTTGCAGGGCCAATAGCTTGTTGATGGTAAGCATACCAAATGGCTCAGGAAGGCAAGGAAAACTCTGAGCAGATAGATTCTGTGACACAAAATGCATTGTCGGACGCAACCTGGGACACGTTCGTATACAAGCCAATGCTATACTCATTACAAGCACCACTGCCTTTGCCAATTCATTGGCTGGAGGCTCTAGTCGTTGATCTAACACATCTTTTAGAAGCAAGCCTGCATTTCCTTTCATTGACGTTGATGATTCTGATAGTTGGGACTCCAACATATCCCCAGGGTGCCTTCCCATCATGACTTCTAGTGCCACCACTCCGAAGCTATAAACATCACACTTGTCCGTCACCTGCATAATATATGCGAGCTCTGCGTATAAAGAGAACAAAATATGTCAACTCTACAAAAGATAGTACAAAGTTGCACAACATTAACATTTTTACATTACCTGGGGCCATGTATCCTAGCGAACCAACAATGTTGGTCCAGTTGGATGAATCAATACTCAACAGTTTTGCTGTTCCAAAATCTGAGAGTCGAGGCTCGAAATCCTGCTCGAGCAATACATTGTTGACAGTTACATCACGATGCACAATTGGTGGTGAGCAGTCATGGTGCAGGTAAGAAAGTGCACGAGCAAGTCCTTTCACAATTTTAACCCTTGTTTGCCAGCGAAGTTCAGTAACCCCTTCTACCCCACACAATGCTTTTCCGAGGCTACCTCTCTCTAAGTATTCATAAAGCAAGAATATGCAACCCTTCCTTGTAGAGAAGCCATATAGCCTTATGACGTTTCGATGCCGGATAGTTGTCAAAGTTCGGATTTCATTCTGAAAACTTTGAAGATTGATCGCTGGAACGTCATTAGAGTCGTCCGTGTTAAGCCTCTTAACTGCAACAACTTGGCCTGATTGGAGCTCTGCCTTGTAAACCTTTCCAAAACCTCCTTTGCCAATGCAGTATTTCTCATGAAAGTCATCTACAGCCTTCACAACTTCTGCAAACGTAAATTTTACTTCCTCTTGCAATATCATTGCTTCAAAACTCTCGAAGTTTTGAGAAGTTTTGATTACCTGAGGCCGGATCGTGGACCTCTTACGAAACATAAGAAAGAGAGCAGCAATGGAAATTGCACCTACTGTGAAACCCAGAAAGGAATAAAGGAAAATAGATACTATATTCTTCTTAGCACTTTTGGAATTTGTACTGGAAGACTTACATTCAGTTGGTCTTTCTGCATGACTCCACAAGCCATAGTTACCAACAAAAGCACTTGTTGACACCTTATTGAAAATGCCACAAGTTGGGAATGACCTTGTTAAGTTGTTATACGAAAAGTCATACATACTTATATTTAGAGTCAACAGGTCAGCTAATGCTGATTGGATTTCGCCTGAGAGATGATTGTGTGAGGCATTGAAAACGTCTAATTTTGTGAGCATGCGCAATTCTGATGGTATTGCACCCGATAGTGAATTGCTGCTGAGATTCAAGTAGTCCAAACCTGTTAAACCTACGGCGAGAAACAGAAAACTTGGTATTACCCCTATCAAATTGTTATTAGACAATGAAAGAAGTTGGGGTCCAACATACCTGAAATCCGTGGGATCACTCCTGTGAAGTTGTTAGCGGACAAATCGAGTCTCTTAAGACGAGATAAATTGCCTAGACTCTGAGGAATCTCTCCTGTCAAGTGGTTATCGGACAAATAGAGTTGCTGAAGCTGAGTCAATTTGCCTAGACTCTGTGGAATCTCTCCTGTCAAGTGGTTATCGGACAAATACAGTTCCTGAAGCTGAGTCAATTTGCCTAGACTCTGAGGAATCTCTCCTGTCAAGTGGTTATCGGACAAATACAGTTCCTGAAGCTGAGTCAATTTGCCTAGACTCTGAGGAATCTCTCCTGTCAAGTTGTTATCGAACAAATAGAGTTTATGAAGGCGCGATAAATTGCCTAGACTGTGAGGAATCTCTCCTGTCAAGTGGTTATCGGATAAATAGAATCCCTGAAGCTGAGTCAATTTGCTTAGACTCTGAGGAATCTCTCCTGTCAAGTGGTTATCGGACAAATAGAGTCCCTGAAGCTGCGTCAATTTGCTTAGACTCTGAGGAATCTCTCCTGTCAAGTGGTTATAAGGCAAATAGAGTACCTGAAGCAGAGTCAATTTGCCTAGACTCTGAGGAATCTCTCCTGTCAAGTGGTTCTGGTCCAAATAGAGTATCTGAAGCTGAGATAAATTGCCTAGACTCTGAGGAATCTCTCCGCTGAATTTGTTGGAATAAAGGCTTAGATACTGCAATTGTGTCAACTGCCCAATTTCTGCTGAAATGGTTCCGCTGAAGCTATTCTTATGAAGGTGCAAATAAACCAATTTCGTCCAATTGGAGACCAGAGATGGAAGGATTTGACCAATAAGTAGATTATTAGACAAACCCAATTGAACGAGGTTTTTCAAATTGGACAAGGACAGTGGCAGTTCCCCATTGAGTTTATTGTAAGACAAGGATAAGTAGGTGAGGTTTGTGCAAAGACCAAGCTCAGAAGGGATAGAAGAGTTTAAGGAGTTGTCTGAAAGATCAAGGAACTGGAGATCCCTGAGTTTGCCTATAGAGGGTGGAATTTTCCCTTCCAGAAGATTCCAACTCAGGTCAATATGTTGAAGACCAGAAATCAAACCTATACTGTCCGGAATTGGGCCAGAGAATTGGTTATGAGTCTCTTTATACAATTTGTTGCCCAAGTCCAAAGTTATGAGGCCGGAGAGATTTCCAATGGCAGATGGTATAGGCCCTCGGAAATAGTTGCCACTCAGGTTGAAGTGGGTGAGATTTGGAAATAGGGAAAAGTCGAAAAGAGCCAGTGTTCCGTTAATTTCCATGCCGGAGAGCTGTATTTCGGAGACCGTTCTGGTTTTGGTGCAGACAATGGCAGTCCAGTTGCAGAGGCTGTTGAGGTTGGTGAGGGACCATGAATGGAGTAGCGAAGGTGGCGATGATGATGATGGAGAAAAGCCAGCCTTCCATTTGATGAGCGATTCTGCTTGTTTTCGTGGAGATATTGATGTCGTTTTGATCAGTGGCAATGCGAACAGCAGCAGGAGAATATAATGAAATGTCATGGTTTTGAGTTGCATGATGATCTGTTATTATTTCGGAGCTAATAACATCTTTGGAGGTGCATGCAGAGTTTATGATCCTTTCTTGACGCTTGGAATTTCGCACATGACCATTAAAGGACGCGTGCCTTTAATCCTCTGCTGCCTCTGACTTCCAATAAGCTCAATGATGGCCGCTGCCGGGCCCGCCGAAAGCTTCATTGGGTCGGCCGTTCCGAGAAGCTACCCGAAAGTACTAAGTTTTTCTGAATTTCCTTTGTTTTTTATTGTCGCAAGGTTTTTCTGTTTTTCATTTACTTTTTATTATATGCATATGTTTGTGGTTCCTGAATTTCGAATTTCCATGGGCATTTGGCAAATTGTCCATTTCATTAGCCAATTGGCTAGTTTTGTCGGGCCTGAAAATGTTTACAAATTTGTCCATTTGAATTTCTAGTTAATTAATTTAATTAATTGTTACTTGGAAGGTATTGCAAGTGTTTTGGTGAAGACATGATCAACGCGGTTCACTTGCAGCTCTGCTGCTTGCTCTATTTGAAAATCACTCATCAGAACATTTGTTGTACTCTTCTAGATATTCTTTTCTTTTTCGATTACACGTCGTATTTTTCTTGATTACGTGTGATACATTTTCATGCCTTAATCTACACGTTTGACGTTGATGTCTGATATTTATGCGTCAACTCCACACTTGATCAAGACATCCTTCACGACAGTCCACGCACGCTGAGACTGGACTTTGTTCAGTCTGTGCACAAGGCTGGGGCCAAGGGACAGCTCTTGATTGAGTTGAAAAATCCTTTCCGAATTTCCAAGCGTAAGGAAAGGATTAGAAAATCTGTGCCTCCGAAATTTAACAGAGTTTACACTAGGTTGCATGGACACTCTGAAACTTCGATGTGTCGTTGTGTTTTTAGTCTTCCACTAGGTTGTAGGGACATTCTAAAACCCGAAGTGTCGGAGTGTCGGACACGGTCAAGATAGTAGTAGGAGAATAAGAAACAGCTATGGAGGCCTCTCTCTCTATCTTGTGTTGCCAAAAGTCTCATGCATTATTAATTTATTAGTTTTAAAAGGCCATATAAAGAGAAAAAAAAAAAAATTAAAGATATGATCGTAGCTTGCCAGACTATTTCAACAACTGTGGATGAACTATTTCGAGAACAGATCCTCTCCAGATTGAAACAGCCGGATTTCAAGGATTAATTGATCCGAACCTTTAAAATTTAATCTAATAATCAACAACTATTATAAATTTTAAAAAATAAAATTTTAACCGTTGTATTAAAATTTAAAAATCCAAATCGTTTCAACCTTAAGCTCCCGCTGTTTAGATCCGGACAGGATCTGTTATCGTTTTTTTCGACACGCTGCTATAGCAGTGCACGGGCAGCTGCTGTGCCGGCCTCCAGCTGGGTCTAATTTTCTTTTTCCCATTTAACCTTTTTATTCTACACGTCTGTCTGTCTATTTTCCTTTTTGTTGGTTGTTGTGCCGTCCTCCGGAAGGATCTCTTTGACAGGAGATTTTTTAGTATAATCGTCACACGAAGTAATACATCATATGTTTCAATATAAATGGTGGGTTATGTATGTTAAAAGGTTAATAACTTAAAAATTAAAAATTTTCACCATTTGCATAAAAACACGTGGTGTACCATCCGTATTCCCGTCACAACTAAAAATTTCTCCTCTTGGACCCTCTTTTAGCTGCTACCGTTAACATTGAAAGAGTATTTTCAATCATAAAATTTATGAAGAATTGATTGAGAAATCAAATAGGAGATCAATTGACAAATGATAACATGATTATTTTTATAGAAAAATATATTTGATAGTATTGGTAATGAAGTTGTTATGCAACTCTTCCAAAGCATATAACATGTTGAGAATATTATAACTTGTTGTATGAAAAAATCTTATGGATTGCTTGGTTATTCTATAGCATATTTAATTGTGACTTTGTTGTTTGAGAATGCATCATTCATACAGATCTCTTGTTTCGCCCCTGACCATAGTAACAATTTTTTTTTTATAAAAGTTGGCATTAACCAGTTATACACATTATATAAAATCCAAATATTTAATTAACGAACTTCTAGTGTAAGGATTAATTCTATATTAAATTATGATAAAAGTTCATGATTGCAAATTATAAAGAGAGTTTTAACGAAAAGCCTACGGTATTGTTCACTTTAACGAAAAATCAAATTTTTACACTAAAAAATCAATCATGGTACTATTCATTTTACCCTTTATTTTGTCTTTATCGTTAAAACTCAAAATTTTCTAACTATTTTCATTAGTTTTCCCAATTATAAATTCTACTCTTTGTTTATGGGAAATATTTCAGCTGATTGATTGATACATACATTTTTTCAATATTTCATTTATACAGACATTTATTCAATATTTCATCAGGCATCTTTGAAATGTTCTACTTAGCTAATTGATTATTCTGTCTTGAGAAGCACATTAGGGTAGCAGTAGACCAATTGAAAAACATCTAATTCATTAGTATCAAGTCTTTGGTCAACAATGATAATATACAGCATCATCGTTAATTCATTAGTATCAAGTCTTTTAAGTCTTTGGTCAACAATGATAATATACAGCATCATCACTAATTCATTAGTATCAAGTCTTTAAGTCTTTGGTCAACAATGATAATATACAGCATCATCACTAATTCATTAGTATCAAGTCTTTAAGTCTTTGGTCAACAATGATAATATACAGCATCATGATTAATTCGTTAGTATCAAGTCTTTGGTCAACAATGATAATATAAGCCTAGACTCTAGTTGTCCATTTGAATCTTCGACGCAATAGCTTCAGTGGGAATATTCCACCTGAGCTTGGGCAGTTGACAGATTTGAATTATCTAAGCCTAGACTCTAATTATTTTGGTGGGGGACTTCCTACTCAAATTGGAAATCTAAACTTGCTATACACACTAAACGTGAGCAGGAACCATTTGACAAGAGTGATCCTTCAGAGTATCGGCAATTTCACTTAGATTCAATTTTCAATTTGTCTGATAACAATTTGGCAAGAGTGATCCCTCAGAGTATCGGCAATCTCACTCCGATTCGATTTCTCAATTTGTTTAGTAACTATCTGACATGAGTGATCCCTTTGAGTACGGGCAATTTCACTCTGATTGAGTCTCTCGATTTGTCTAATAACAATTTGACATGAGTGATCCCTTGGACTATTGGTAGTTTCACTGAGATTCAGTATCTCAATTTGTCTAATAACAATTTAACAAGAGTGATCCCTCAGAGTATCGGCAATATCATTAGATTCGGTATCTCAATTTGGCTAATAACTATATGACGGGGGTAATGCCACCTGATCACGGCATGTTTGACAATCTACAGTTTTGTTACCAAATGGATTTTAGCAGCAATTTACTCTCGGGAGCAATACCTTCAAACTTGGGCGAGCTCACAGGATTAGAGATTTTCAATATATCACACAACCATCTCTCAAGGGGAAATCCCATCAGAATTTTTTAACATGGGACTAACCATCTATGACTTTCTTATAACAACCTTACAAGGCCAATTCCAACTTGTGGCATTTTCCAAGAGGCACCGGGTGATGCTTTTGTCGGAAACTATGGCATGTGGAGAGATGCAAGGGGAAAGGCTCCATGTGATTCCTCTAGCGGAAATTCTGAAATAAACAACGACAATTCGAAATGAAAAAACATCAATAGTGTCATTATTGTCATCATATCCTTTTTGGGTTTTGACGTGGTTGAAACTATCATTGGTTTCTTTATCTTTTTAGTATTATGCAAGAGATCCAATCTCGAGCATCAGGATATCAAAACTTCTCAGAACTTTGAGAATTTTGAGTCGATGATATTGCAAGTGGAAGTAAAGTTTACATTTGGGGAAGTTGTGAAAGTCATAGATGACTTTCATGAGAAATACTGCATTGGGATAGGAGGATTTGGAAGAGCATACAAGGTAGAGTTGGAGTCAGGCCAAGTTGTTGCAGTTAAGAAGCTTAACACGGAAGACTCTAACGACATTCCAGCAATTAATTCCGAAATTTTGAGAATGAAATCTGAACTTTGATAAATATCCGACATCGCAACATCATAAGGCTTTACGACTTCTGTTCAAGGAGAGGTTGCATATTCTTGTTTTATGAATACTTTGAGAAAGGCAATCGGGGAAAATCATTGTATGGGGTTGAAGGGGTTACTGAACTTGGCTGGGAACAAGGGTCAAAATTTTGAAAGGACTTGCTCATGCACTTTATTACTTGCACAATGACTGCACTCCGCCAATTGTGCACCATGATGTAACTGTCAACAATGTATTACTCGATCAAAATTTCGATCCTCGGCTCTCAGATTTTGGAATTGCAAGACTGCTGAGTACTAATTCATCCAACTGGAGACATATTGTTGGTTCATTTGGCTACATGGCACCATGTGATGAAACACTTAAACTTGTACATTTTAGGTTCATATTAATTTTAGCATCTTAAGATACTGTTTACTTTTTTTGACGTGCAAAGCTTGCATTGACTATGCGGGTCATGGATAAGTGTGACGCATATAGCTTTGGAGTCGTAGCCCCATAAGTGATGATGGGAAAGCACCTTGGGGATATGCTAGAATCCCAACTATTAGAATCATCAAGATTATCGCAGGACAACGTAGGGTTGCTTTTGAAAAATGTGTTAGACTAACGGCTTGAGCCTCTGATCGATGAATTGTCAAAGGCAGTGGTGCTTGTGATGAGTTTAGTGTTGGCTTGTACACGTGTGCATCCTAGATCTTGACCTCCGATGTCTTTTGTGTCACGATAACTATCAGCTCAAGCCCTGCCTTGCATTCCTAAACCATTTGGTATTTTGAGCATCAACAAGCTAATGGGGCTGGGACAACAAGCTAATGGAAGCTAGGAGCCGAATTCTATGTTTACTTGAGCTGTAAGATTGGCACATAATGGCCATTACTTTTGTTTCATGTTTATCTATGCTTGAAGCTATTAATCATAATATATATCAACCAAACAACATTTTAGAGTGTGTTTAAAAACTATTTCAATTTTAGCTTGCTTTATTTTTCATGTTTGAGATCTTCTGGCCCATGAATAAAAGAAACCTGCATCAATCATACAAAAAAAAAGTTGTGTAGGGCTTGGCTTACAATTGGATTTTTCTAAGTGACACTACAATCCACTCAAAACTCGCGACTTAGCAAGTTTAAATATAGTCTTTTATCATTTTTTTATATTTCACATTCCCATAATTAATTTTATACTAATTAATATCCATCATAAAATCAATCTAATTTCTTGGGTAAATTACACAAAACTACCTCAACTATTAGTCTTACGACACTTTTATACCTAATCTTTTTAAAATGACAATGTCATACCTCCGTCAGTTTTTCTATTAAGTGCTGACATGGTTACATGCGGGATCCACTCACTAATCCAACTGGATTAAAAAATTATTAAATATATTTTTAATAATTAAAAATTAAAAAAATAATTTTTTTTATTAAATCATTCTCTCTCCTCTCTCTCTCTCTCTTCTCTGCATCCCCAAAACCCCTTCCCACCTGACTCCCCCCTCCCCTCCCTCTCTCTCTTTCCTCCCCCATCTTCATCTTCTTCCCTGCAACCCAAAAAAAAAAAAAAAAAAAAAAAAAAAACCAATTTGTCTTCCCCCTTCCCCACCCCTCTTCTCCAAACCCCCCGGGCCCCCACCTAAGCCCAACCTATAACCTAGAAAAAAAAAAGTAAAAAAAAAGAAAAACCCATCTTCATCTTCCCCGACCCCCCTTCCCTGCAACACATCCCTATCTTCTCCCCCCCTCTCGTCTTCCCTAAACCTTCCACACCCACCCTCGCACCCACTACCTGCAACCCAGAAAAAAACCCAGATCCCGTCTACCCCGGCGAAGGTAGATTCCGCGGGTGGAGAACTTGGGCGCTGAGAAAATGGGGGGAATGGGTGTGGATTTAAGGAGTGGGGTGTGTATAGGAGGGATGAGGGTGGATGCAAGGTTGGGTGTGGGGAGAAGACGAATTGTGACATACCACATCGCCCAGGGAAGTGATCCTTAAATGTATATTCCCATCCTTACCTAGCACGAGGCATTTTGGGAGCTCACTGGCTTCGGGTTCCGTAGGAACTTCGAAGTTAAGCGAGAAGGAGGCTAGAGCAATCCCATGATGGGTGACCCATCGGGAAGTTCTCGTGTGAGTTCCCAGAAACAAAACCGTGAGGGCGTGGTCGGGGCCCAAAGCGGACAATATCGTGCTACGGTGGTGAAGCGGGCCCGGGAAGTGGTCCCGCCCGGGCCGGGATGTGACAATTTGGTATCAGAGCCTAACCCTGGCCGTGATGTGCCGACGAGGACGTCGGGCCCCTAAGGGGGATGGATTGTGACATCCCACATCGCCTAGGGAAGTGATCCTTAAATGTATATTCCCATCCTTACCTAGCACGAGGCCTTTTGGGAGCTCACTGGCTTCGGGTTCCGTAGGAACTCCGAAGTTAAGCGAGAAGGAGGCTAGAGCAATCCCATGATGGGTGACCCACTGGGAAGTTGCTCGTGAGTTCCCAAAAACAAAACCGTGAGGGAATGGTAAGCCCAAAGCAGACAATATCGTGCTACGGTGGTGGAGCGGGCCCGGGATGTGACACGAATTGGGAAGAAGATGAAGATAGGGGAGAAGAGAGGAGAGGATGAAGGGAAGGGGAAGGGGTTGGGGAAGTTTGGGCTTATTTTATTTTTTTTTCCTGGGTTGGCAGGTAGGGGGAAGAAGATGAAGATGGGGGAGAAGAGAGAGAGAGACAGGGAATGGAGGGGGAGTCCGGTGGGAAAGGGTTTTGGGGATGCAGAGAAGAGAGAGAGGCGAGAGAGAAGGGGGAGAGAGAGGAGAAAGAGGGGGAGATTTAATAAAAAAAATTTATTTTTTAATTTTTAATTATTAAAAATATATTTAATAATTTTTTAATCCAGTTGGATTAGTGAGTGGATCCCGCATGTGGCAACGTCGGCACTTAACAGAAAAATTAATAGAAGTATGACATTGGCACAAATTCGTAAGATGAAGTATGACATTGTCATTTTAAAAAGATTAGGTATGAAAGTGTCGTGAGACCAATAATTGAGGTAATTATGTAATTTACCCTAATTTCTTCTTATCCCCTGTTTTTCTTCCCAAATGTTCCCTCCAAATTATATTTTGCAGTAGGACTCTTCATTTTATTCTCTCCCTGTTTCTTGCTTTTCTTAAACAATATATATATTCGGCACCCAGTGGTGATTGGGGGTTTTTGGTTCCTTGAATAATACTCTTTTTGTTTACCAAAAAAATAAGAAAAAAAAAAATATTCCTTTTTTTTGTTCATTATACAATTGTTTGTTTGATCGCATATTAGGGTTATTTGTTTCTTTCTTAAAATCGGGGGTTTTTGGGTTCGGGTGAGGAGGTTTCTTTATATTTATAATATGAATTCTGTTATTTGGCTATGTTTGACACAACATCTACTTTTCTTTATTATGAGTATTTTAAGAATATGTTAGTCTAATTTTGATTTTTTTTCAATTGATGTGAGAGTGCTGAGGCAATGGAGATATGAAAAATTTGGGAATAAAAAAGAGAGTGAGGAAAGGAAGAAAAAAATGAACCATTACATTGATCTCATGGTGTATGATGTATATTAATTAGCATAAAAATAATTATGAGAATGTAAATATAAAATAATGATAAAATATTTTATTTAAAACTTACCATGAAATTTGAGTGGATTGAAGTATCACTCAACAAAATCCAATGGCAAGCCATGTTCCACACTAATTTTTCTCTAATCATACAGCTCACGTAATCAAAGCGAATGATACTAATATTATTATCAAACAAGAAATACAAATAGAGTAACATATTTATATAATTAATTGAGATTTCTTTTCTTTTTTCTTATCTGTGTCTGTGTAACACACCAGTGCCACCTCATCTTTCCCGCCTTAGAAATCCACTTAAATACCGAAAAACCCTCAAAGTCCCCACTGATTCTCCTTCCTCGTCTTCTTTATCACCTCCTCTGAGACCGCGGCCCCTCAAGGTCTCACCCTGTCGATTCCAAATCCCGCATCTCGCTTTATCTCGGCAATGAGTTCCTCGCAAACCTTCAGATCCAGGACACCCAGAAGCCGGGAAAAGAAAGCCCTAAGCCCAAATCCCTCGAAAGTCTCAGGCAACGAGGCGCTGAGCACCCAGACCCCTCAGAGGTCCGAAGCACTCATCCGCCGTGCCCAAAACGCCAACTTCGCGCTCTCCATAGGAGACATCAGAAGGGCCGCCGCCAAGAGCGTCGGCGAATTGACCCAGAAGCGACGGACCGACCAGATCGATCCATGGGGAGAGAAAGCCTTGAAGAAGACTTGTGTCAGTTTCCCAGAGAAGCTATCCGAGATGTAAGGCTTCAAAATTCGGTTGTTTTGCATAAAATCTGTGTGTGATTTTGGTCCTCCATTTCCGGGTGGATTTTGATTTCTTTGATTTCTGGTTGGCTAATTTATGTGCTTATTTTCTTTTTAATTAACTGTTTGGTTGATGAGAAAATGGAATTAAGATATTTTAGAAGTTGATCGATTTTTTCTAACTCGATCCATAGGAGGTTTACATATGGTCACTTAGCTCAGCCGAAGTTTGTTATGCCTGAGGTGATTGAAATAAAAAAAGTGCTTATTAAGGATGAGAGAACCAGTTGTCTGAAGCCGGATCTTCATGTCACCATCAATGCTGATGCATTGGAGAGCGATGAAAAGTCAAAATCCGAAGGTGGGAGTATGCATTTGAGGAAGTTATTTCATAAGCGGCTTGCTGATCTTTCCAAAATCCCATCCTGAGGTATCGCCAATACTCAGTTTCGGATATGGCATCACTAATATGGTTTAATTGTTGAGTGCTCTATGTAATTTTAATCGAACGGTAATCTGGGAAGTTATTGGTGTCAAGATTTTCTCCTCATCAGTTACATTCTATTTGTTGAACTACTTTCTGAATAACATGTGGTCTAACAATACTTAATATGTTTTCAGGATTATGAAATTCCAGAAGAAACTCTCCCCCAGCCATTTGGTCCTACGAATCAAGATATGTGATCAGATACGGACAAGCTTCCCTTGTCATCATCTCAGGGTGATGAAATTTCAGATACGGTCAAGCTTCTGTTGTCATCATCTCAGGGTAATGAAATTTCAGATACGGTCAAGCTTCTGTTGTCATCATCTCAGGTTGGATGTTCATTTTCTAAAACGGTAAATGGGGACAGATTTTTCAGGGTGCCCGGAACACAGGTTGATACACCATGTGTCCCTATACAAGTGGTGAGATTCTTGTGTTAAAAAAATAATAACAAAAAAAAATAAAATTTCCCACCACTTATAGAATAACATGTGGTGTACCACTTGTGTTACGGGCACAAGGAAAAATTTCTTGTAAATGGGAACTTCATCAAATAGGTTACTACATAAGTAGAGTTAGGCCTTGGGGTTAGAAGATGGTTTACAACTTTACACGCTTCACTTCCTTTAGGCCCTTTGGGAATGTATAGAAGTTGGAACATCATAACATCTTTTGGTAAGGATGGGTGGGGTTGCAGAGGGAGTGAGGGACTCTCAACAGAGGTCAGCTCCATGGTATGTTTCTTTTGTGTTTTTGAATTCGAATTTTTGAGTTCGATTTGAATTTATGTGTGCTACAGAGCATGAGGGATGGCAGCAACATCAGCAGCTACCTGTTCCACTGGAATCAATTGTTCCCTTGGCCACAAAGCGGCATGGTTTCAACAGTCAAAGCCTTGTGCTTTGAGGTTCAACTCCCAAAACCCTCTCAAGAGCTCTTTCAATGGGCTCAAGGTGACCACATTTTCAATTGTGAATTAGGAAATATTCAATGCCTGATAAAATGTATGTTGAACTGATCAATGTATTAAAATACAGCATCAACTTCTGCAATAAACTGACTCAAATTTAGACTATGTCATGGAAGTATCTAACTTGGTTTTGACTGATTTTGAGTTTTAAATGTTTGGCTTAAAAAAATGCATCCTAGATTTTGGTACAGAAACAATATCCAAATATTGATACCTTATACTGCATATATAGTTCGAACTACAATGAAGGTGTGTTCAATTGATTCAATATCGGTGAACCTACCCTTACTGCTTCTTTGTCACTTACAATTACACTTACAATTACAATAAGCTTCTTCTGCTGAATTGTTAATTTAATTTGATTCGTCATCATATAGTTGATTAGTTGTTAATTAAAATTCAACCTTTTTACTTTAACATTTTAAGAATCCAGATATTTTACCAAATTGCAACCAGATTAGGATTGCATATAATCTTACATGATAAATATTTTGCTATCTGCGTAATAGTTGATAAATATTTATATAATTAAGTTGTTTATTTTACCAAGACATGATCACTGATCACATGGGTTTTTATTTTTAAGCGAATAGAGTATGGATCACAACACTCGCATCAGTTTTGAGTGAATGTGGTGATTGGATTTTTTATTTTGTGAGTCATATTTTTGTATTGATATTCTGATATCTACAATATCCTCTAATATCTTCTCAAAACTGATTTTGCGCTTCTGTCCATTATATGGACAAAGTTAATTTCTCCTATGTTACGTTCAATTATTTGCCAATTTCTTTACTGTAGTTTCAGTATTTGCTAATTTTAAAAGCTCTGAATTGGTAACGAATATACCTTTTTTTATGTTTAGAGTTTTGGGTCATTGGCGGAACAAATTGGTTACTTGACATTTTGAGGTATATAATTTGCTTTACTTTTGTTTCAGTTTCTACGTTTAGATACAGAGTGGATATATGTTTGCTATATGCGAAGTACCTTTTCAATGTACATATCAAATCTTATGTTGAGATTGAAAGCTTTTTTTATCAACAGTTGCATGGCTGGCTTTTTTTTATTATCTGTTTATCCATGAATGTGAACTATAAGGTTTCTATTAATTAGAATTGGCTTATTCTTTTATTAAGAATTTGTTTTTACACACCATATTGGCTCTTCTTCATATAATTATATAGCATGAGTATGTAGAATGTCATGTCTGTGTGTCGTATGATTTTGCATGAGAATTACAGAGTGATAGCAGGTTGCCATGGTGTAAATGCAACTTTGTATTTAGTCTCTGTGTAAAACTTAGTCCACTTGGTAAATGGTTTCCCATTCTTTTAAACTTAAGTGTTTGAGTCGCGTTAGATTGTTGAATAATTCAGCCGCTTTCTTACTTCCAAGATTCGTGCATATTTCTCCTTTTTTTTTTCATCGGTTACTTTTTTTTAGATACATTTTCTTTTCTGTTTTAAATTATAGCATTCAAGGCTGACTTTGTTATATTAACTCTGAAATCCGAACACAAGTTTCTAATATAATGATCTTTGGAACTTTTCATATTTCTGAGTTGCACTACATCGATTAAGGTTTTTTAAATTCAAGGCCACGATGTTTGCATGCCCGCAATCATGTGAATCGAGGCTAAAACTGATACAAAGTTTGATGAGAGCAATTCAACCATTTAAATTAGTTTTCTAATCACATTAGTTACTTTGTCAAAAGAAAAAAAAAAAAAAAGAGCATCTCTTTCATCAATCATACTTGACATGCATCTTAGTGTACATACAGTTCTCAGTTTTCTGTCTTCCTTTATTTTTTAATTTTTTTTGTGTGTATGTATTTATCTATGCATACACACAGATCTCGGATAAAGCGAAGTTCTAGATGTTTTTTAATTGTAATAAACTGATTAGACGAATAAACGTTCAACTTGGCTAAGTCTGGTGATATTATCGTATTAGTGGGAATTATATGGTTGGAAATATTGTGTATATTTTTATGCATAGGCTTGATAAAAATAAATCCTGCACTTTTTGCTGCAATCAATTTTTCGTTTTTTGATTTGGTGAATTCTTGCATTGTTTTCTAATGAAGAGGATTCGAGCATTAATATTGTCAGTAAAGGTGAGACTACTGGTTTTCCAGTCACCCCACATAATGAACAGTTGAGTTATGCATCTCCAAGCAAGAAAAGGCTGGATGCTATTAGTGATTCTGCCAAAGAATCAAAACAAAGTGGTAGGTATTTACATTTCCATGTATAGGATTTTGTGGATTTTATGAAATATATTGTTTGTTCTTCTCTCAGTTTCGAGTTTTATATATCAACCTCCTTTGTGTTATTTTTCTTCAAAATTCATGTGCGTCATTTGATTATTTGGACTTTGGACTAAATTGTTGAAGCTGATTTTGTCATGGATACCGTGTGCAGTTTTTATTATGGATTCTCACACTTTTGAGCTGTATACCAGCTCGTTGAACAAGAGGACATCTAGCAGACCAAAGAAGCTCTCTCGGTGCAGCATACACCCTCCTCAATCAAATTTTGACAAGGGGGATCCAGTGAAGAATGGAATTGGTGATGATCCAAAGAGAAACTGGTTTAATTCTACTACACACCGTATGTTGATGATTTCTTCAGTCAAAAATCAATATTTTCGGTAGACTAGAGATGGCTGTTAGAAAATGCGTGACTGTTCTCTAAAATAAAATACACTTCTGAGATTGCTGTGGTTGGTTATTGGTTTGGATTTTCCATATTTACCTTGGTGCCTTTAACTTTTCAGGTGAAATTTGTTACGCAACTTCATTGCAAAATTTTGTTGAGTCAACATTCAATGCCCTTCCATCGAATCAAGTTAAAGGTAGGATCACTAAATCATACTATTTTCATCGCCTCTTTATCCTCTTGCTGAACACAATGGAATGAATTGTCTTCATTTGCATTCTTACATTTGAACTTGCAAGTCAATTTATGCTAAATAGTATTTATTTTTCCTTGTCTTAGATTCTACTGAGTTGAACCTTATTGTCTATTTTTAGATTTCATTTACACTCATAAACTGAGGCATTATGAATGTCCAAGAATGAATGGAGGAATTTAAGCGACAATGTTGGTGGTCGCTTTTGTAAATAGAGTGAAATATAAGAATCATCAATTAGCTATCAGAAGATAATGTTGTCTATGTTGTAAATAGGACAATGTGGTCTATGTATATGTTATGTACTAGCACATCAAGTATCTAAGTAGTACTATATGTACTGTTTTCAATCCTGCAGCATCGTGCGGGCATTTTTTACTAGTAATTTCTATAACACCTTCAAGGTTTTTCTGTATTTCAGTTGCTTTTTGTTATATGCATTTGTTTGTGATTCATGATGTTAGAATTTCTACGGGGATTTGGAAAATTTGTCTCTTCTATTAGCTAATTGGCTAATTTTGTCAAGTGTAAAAATGTTTGAAAAAGTGTCCATTTGTATTTCTAATTAATTAATCTGATTAATTGTTACTTGAAGATCTTGCAAGTGTTTTGGTAAAGACATGATCAACTCGGTTCACTTGCTACTGCTGCTTGCTTTATTTGAAAATCACCCATCAGAACACATACTGCACTCTTCTAGATCATCTTTTCTTTTTCAATTACGTGTCGTATTTGTTGTGTTTATGTTCAATTACGTGTCGTGTTTGTTATGTTTGCGTGCAACACATTTCCATGCGTAAACCCACATGCTGGGGCTGGACTTTGAATAGTCTGCGCAAATGAATGGGGCCACGGGAAGACTAGACCGCGTCAATCAACATTGGCACCACACAGCTCTTGATTGAGTTGAAAAATCCTTTCGGAATTTCCACGTGTAAAGAAAGGACTGGAAACTCTGCACCTCCGAAATTTCAACTAGTTTTGATTTAGTTACGGAATTAAAAATATCTATTAACTAAGGTTAACTAAATATAACAAACCATGGGTTCTATATGAGAGTTTCATCAATTTGACTACGCGGCAAGACATAGGATCCAGAATGAGACCTAAAACAAACTAATACCCAAATTTGCATCCTACGTTAGATTTGGTCTCAACACATACTTTGAATCAAATATGTCGGATGCACATGTGTGTTACATCATCAAACTAAATTTTTTTTAGAGTAATGTAACACTTGCCAACAATTTGTATTATCTCATTAATAAAGATACACGTGTGAGTCTTATTTTTATTAAAGAAATTATACAAAAGATGGTACAAATAGATGATAACAATAACATTATTTTTTTTATGAAGTGTAACGGCATAAAACTATTGTGCACATTTTGATAATTCTGACATAAAAGGTACATTAAGTCTTTGGTCAACAATGGTAATAAACAGCATTCGTCATACAAATAATTACTATGCAGTCTTTGGTCAAAGCATTCGAATAGCAGCGTAAATATTGCTTGACTGGAAACATAACAGAGCAACTCTGCTAAGCTTGAAAAATAACACCATGAAAAGAGTTCAGATGCCTCCCTTTCTCCTTCATTTTTTCTTGCTTTCCCTGCTTCCATCAATTTCTACCTCCTCACCGGGGACGCAGGCAGAAGCTCTGATAGCTTGGAAGAGCCGCTTCTACTTTAATTATTCACCTTCTCCCGTCGATTCATGGTCCCTCGCCAACCTCAACAACCTTTGCAACTGGACTGCCATTGTCTGTCACCGCAATACCAAAACAGTTTCCGAAATACATCTCTCCAACTTCCAGATCAGAGGAACACTAACCCACTTCAACTTCACCCCATTTCTTAATCTCACTCGCTTCTACCTCAATCAAAACCGTTTTATTGGGCCCATACCATCTGCTATTGGCAACCTCACTAGGCTGACAATCTTGGACTTGGCCAACAACTTATTTGAGCAAGAAATACCCGCGGAGATTGGCCTCTTAACAAAGATCGAGTTTCTAACTTTCTACAACAACAATCTCAACGGTACAATCCCCTACCAACTCAGCAATCTCCAAAAGGTACAATTTTTGCATCTTGGAAAAAACCACTTGAAAGCTTCAAACTGGTCTAAATTTTCAGCCATGCAATCCTTGACACACCTTAATCTTAATCAAAACGCTATCCATTCAGAATTCCCAGATTTTATATTTGAATGCCAAAACTTGACGACCTTGGATTTGTCTCGAAATCAGTTGACTGGCCAAATACCAGACCTGGTATTTACCAAACTGGGCAAGCTTGAGTACTTAAATCTCAACGATAACCTATTCCAAGGAAAGATTCCAACTACCATGGGTCAACTCAGGGAGCTTCAGTCCCTTGATCTTGGAATGAATTCCTTAAACTCTTCAATCCCTTCTGAGCTTGGCCATTGTACCCACCTCACGCACCTGTCCCTGGCTTCCAATTTTCTTAGCGGGGAACTGCCACAGTCCTTGTCCAATCTGAACAGCATTCTCCAGTTGGATTTCTCCGATAATGTATTTACCGGTCCAATCTTGCCTTCCGTGATCTCCAATTGGACTCTAGTTGTCGATTTGTATCTTCGAGGCAATAGCTTCAGTGGGAATATTCCACCTGAGCTTGGGCAGTTGACAAATTTGAATATTCTAAGCCTAGATTCTAATGATTTTGGTGGGCAACTTCATAGTCAAATTGGAAATCTAAACTTGCTATCCAGACTAAACGTGAGCAGGAACCATTTGACAGGAGTGATCCCTCAGAGTATTGGCAATTTCACTCAGATTCTGTATCTCGATTTGTCCAACAACAATTTGACAGGAGTGATCCCTCTGAGTATCGTCACTTTCACTAGGGTTGAGTTTCTCGATTTGTCTAATAACAATTTGACAGGGGTAATACCACCTGATTCCGGCAGCAATTTTCTCTTGGGATTAAAGATTTTCAATGTATCACACAACCATCTCTTTGGGGAAATCCCATCAGGATTTCTCAACACGGATAAACTAACCATCTTTGACTTTTCTTATAACAACCTCACAGGGCCAATTCCAATTTGTGGCAATTTCCAAAATGCAACTTTTGTTGGAAACTATGGCATGTGGAGAGATGCAAAGGGAGAGGCTGCATGTAAAAGAAAAAACGGCGTCAATATGGTTGTTGTTGTCATCATATTCTTTTTGGCTTTTGGCGTGGTTGCAACTATCATTGCTTTCTTTCTCTTATTAGTATTACGCAAGAGATCCAAACTCCGACCTCAGGAAATCAAAACTTCTAATAACTTCGAGAATTTTGAGTCAATGATAGTGCAAGAGGAAGTAAAGTTTACATTTGGAGAAGTTGTGAAAGCCGTAGATGACTTTCATGAGAAGTACTGCATTGGAATAGGAGGATTTGGAAGAGTATATAAAGCAGAGTTGGAGTCAGGCCAAGTTGTTGCAGTTAAGAGGCTTAACATGGAAGACTCTAATGATATTCCAGCAATTAATTTCCGAAGTTTTGAGAATGAAATCCGAACTTTGATAAATATCCGACATCGCAACATCATAAGGCAATACGGCTTCTGTTCCACAAGGGGTTGCATATTCTTGCTTTATGAATACTTCGAGAGAGGCAGTCTGGGAAAATCATTGTATGGGGTTGAAGGGGTTACTGAACTTGGCTGGGCTACTAGGGTCAAAATTTTGAAAGGACTTGCTCATGCACTTTCTTACTTGCACAATGACTGCAGTCCGCCAATTGTGCACCGCGATGTAAATGTCAACAATGTATTACTCGATCAAAATTTTGAGCCTCGACTCTCAGATTTTGGAACTGCAAGACTATTGAGTACTAATTCATCCAACTGGACACATATTGTTGGTTCAATTGGCTACATGGCACCAGGTAATGAAACACTTAAACTTGTACATTTTAGGTTCATATTAATTTCAGCATCTTAAGATACTGTTTACCTTTTTTGATGTGCAGAGCTTGCATTGACTATGCGGGTCACGGATAAGTGTGACGTATATAGCTTTGGAGTCGTAGCACTAGAAGTGATGATGGGAAAGCACCCTGGAGATATGTCAAGATTATTGCAGGACAATGTAGGGTTGCTTTTGAAAAATGTGTTAGACCAACGGCTTGAGTCTCCGACTGATGAATTGGCAAAAGCAGTGGTGCTTGTGATGAGTTTAGCATTTGCTTGTACACGTGCACATCCCATATATCGACCTCCGATGTCTTTTGTGGCACAAAAACTATCAGCTCAAGCCTTGCCTTGCCTTCCTGAACCATTTGGTATTCTGAGCATTAGCAAGCTAATGGGGCTGGGGCTACAAGCTAATGGAAGCTAGGAGCTGAATTCTATGTTTACTTAAGCTGTAAGATTGGCACATAATGGCTATTGCTTTTGTTTCATGTCTATCTATGCTTGAAGCTATTAATCATAATATATATCAACCAAACAACATTCAGAGTGTGTTTAATAATTATTTCATTTTTAATTTGCTTTATTTTTCTTGTTTGAGATCTTCTGGCCTATGAATAAAAGAAACATATATCAATCATACCGCTTATGTAATCAAAGCCAATGATACTAATATTATTATCAAGCAAGAAATCCAAATAGAATAACGTATTTATTTAATTAATTGAGATTTCCCTCTTTTTTTCTTATCTATGTCAATTGTTAAATAAAAGGAAATTTGAACTACAACTTTACAAGGGAGAAGAAGAGTTTTTTTTTTTTTTTTTTTTGGGTAAACTTGTTTATATCTGCTCACTAAATTGTTTATTTGGAACGTGAGATTTTGGACTCCGAGCCCAATAAACAAATGAGTGCTCCACCCAGCCTACTCCAAGAGAAATGCGAGAGCCAACGGATCTATTAGGCGGGAAGCAACGGGTCACACCAGTGCCATTCTTCTTCTTCCTCTTCTTCTTCATCTCCTCCTCTGTGACTGCGGCCGCTCAAGATCTCACCTTTTCAATTCCGAGTCCCACATTTCACTTTATCTAGGCAATGAGTTCCTCACAAACCCCATATCTGACGAAGGTTCCATCATAAAATTAATTGACAATATAAAGAGTAAACCAACATTTTATAAGCTCATTCAAGGTCCATCATTCACGTTCCTACACTTGTGGTAAATTTTCAAGTTTAAACGTGAACAACACAACAGGGTGACGTAGAATGTAAGTGGCCGTTTGGCTTCAAATATGTGAAAATTTGGCTCTGACATTATAAAGAAAGTTGAAATTCTACTATAAAACCAATTGACAATATGGAAAACAATTTAACCTCTTGTAAGCTTAAACAAGATGCATCCTCCCATCAACGTGGATTCATTCTCAACAACATCCAGGACACCCAGAAGACGGGAAAAGAAAGCCCGATACCCAAATCCCTCGAAAGTCTCAGGCAACAAGGTACGGAGCACCCAGAACCCTCAGAAGTCCGAAACACTCATCCGCCGTGCCCGAAATACCAACTTCGCGCTCTCCATAGGAGACTTCGGAAAGGCCGCCGCCAAAAGCGTCGGCGATTTGATTGTTGAGTGCTCTATGTAATTTTAATCGAACGGTAATCTGGGAAGTTATTGGTGTGAAGATTTTCTCCTCATCAGTTTGACATTCTATTTCTTGAACTACTTTCTCAATAACATGTGGCCTAAAATTGCTTAATATGTTTTCAGGATTATGAAATTCCAGAAGAAACTCTCCCCCAGCCATTTGGTCCTACGAAGCAAGATAGCTTCCCTTGTCATCATCTCAGGGTGATGAAATTTCAGATACGGTCAAGCTTCCCTTGTCATCATCTCAGGTTGGATGTTCCTTTTCTAAAACGGTAAATGAGGATAGATTTTTCAAAGTGCCATGAACACGGGTGATACACCACGTGTTCTTGGTGAGATTTTTGTGTTAAAAAAGTAATAACATAAAAAATAAAATTTCCCACCACTTATAGAATAACAGGTGGTGTACCACTTGTGTTACGGCACAAGGAAAAATTTCTTGTAAATGAGAACCTCATCAAATAGGTTACTACATTAGTAGAGTTAGGCCTTGGGGTTAGAAGATGGTTTACAACTCTACACGCTTCACTTACTTTAGGCCCTTTGGGAATGTATAGAAGTTGGAACATCATAACATGTTTTCCTATATTTTATTTTTATTTTTTTTCAGTTTCGCGTTGATCAATTGTCATTCAAGATCACTGCATAGTTTTGATGTTTTACTGTTATTTGGTTTTACAGGCATCTTTCCTGTTACTGTATATGGAGCTTTCCTGCCCCTGGACATATATTCTATCGACTCCATGCTTTGTGTGCATGTATACGGTGCCTTTTTGTTGCTCCCTGCATGCTGGTCATGTGGCCATCGTTTGATGTAATACTATCAGATCAGGTTTCTGTTGTCATCCCACTGCTGGAGCTTAAGAAGGCAACAAAGGCATTCGCACCTATTTCGTACGAATTGTTATCTGGTAGCATCTGGTAGTGTAGTTGTACGGATGGGTGGGGTTGCAGAGGGATTGAGCGACTCTCGACAGAGGCCAGCTCCATGGTATGTTTGCTTTTTTGTGTTTTTGAATTCGAATTTTTGAGTTCGATTTGAATTTAAGTGTGCTACAGAGCATGAGGGATGGCAGCAACATCAGCAGCTACCTTTTCCACCGGAACCAATTGTTCCCTCGGCTACAAAGCGGCGTGGCTTCAACAGTCAAAGCCTTGTGCTTTGAGGTTTAACTCCCAAAACCCTCTCAAGAGCTCTTTCAATGGGCTCAAGGCGACCACATCTTTCAATTGTGAATTAGGAAAGATTCATGCCTGATAAAATGTACGTTGAACTGATCAATGTGTTAAATACAGCATCAACTTCTGCAATAAACTGACTCAAATTTAGACTATGTCATGGACGTATCTAACTCGGTTTTGACTGATTTTGGGTTTGAAGTGTTTGGCTCAAAAAAATGCATCTTAGAATTTGGTACAGAAACAATATCCAAATATTGATAACTTATACCCCATATATAGTTCGAACTACAATAAAGGTGTGTTCAATTGATTCAATATTCGTGAACCTATCCTTACTGCTTCTTTTTCACTTATAATTACACTTACAATTACAAGAAGAAGCCTGAATTGTTAAATTTAATTTGATTTGTCATCATATAGTTGATTAGTTGTTAATTAAAATTCGACCCTTTTACTTTAACATTTTAAGAATCCAAATATTTTGTCAAATTGCAATATAATCTTACATGATAAATATTTTGCTATTTGCGTGATAGTTGATAAATATTTATATAATTAAGTTGTTTATTTTCCCAAGACACGTCACTGATTACATGGGTTTTTATTTTTAATCGAATAAAACATTAGTTTTGAGTGAATGTGGTAATTGGATTTTTTTTATTTTGTGAGTTCTCAAAACTGATTTTGCTCTTCTGTCCATTATATGGATACAGTTCATTTCTCCTACGTTACGTTCAATTATTTGCCAATTTCTTTACTGTTGTTCCAGTATTTTGCTAATTTTAAAAGCTCTGAATTGCTAATGAATATACCTTTTTTTATGTTCAGAATTTTGCGTCATTGCCCGAACAAATTGGTTACTTGACATTTTGAGGTATATAATAAGCTATACAATTGTTTCAGTTTCTTCAATTAGATAAAGAGTGGATATGTGTTTGCTATATGCGAAGTATCTTTTGTATGTACGTATCAAATCTTATGTTGAGATTGAAAGCTTTTTTATTAACAGTTGCATGGCTGGCTTTTTTTATTAACAGTTTATCCATGAATGTGAACTATAAGGTTTCTATCATTTAGAATTGGCTAATTCTTTTATTAAGAATTTGTTTGTACACACCATATTGGCTCTTCTTCATATAAGTACATAGCATGAGTATGTAGAATGTCATGTTAGTGTGTGTCAATCGTATGATTTTGCATGAGAATTAAAGTGTGACAGCATGTTGCAATGGTGTAAATGCAACTTTGTATTTGGTTTGTGTGTGAAACTTAGTCCACTTGGTGATTCCCATTCTTTTAAGCTTCAGTGTTTGAGTCGCATTAGATTGTTGAGGAATTCATCAAAATGGCTTCCAGATATAGCCGCTTTCTTACTTCCAAGGTTCGTGCATATTTCTCCATTTTTCATCGGTTACTTTTTTCAGATACATTTTCTTTTCTGTTTTAAATTATTGTATTCAAGGCTGACTTTGTTATATTAACTCTGAAATTCAAAACTCGAACACAAGTTTCTAAAATATAATGTTCTTTGGAACTTTCCATATTTTTGAATATGCACTGCATTGATTAAGGTTTTTTAAAATCTAGGCCACGATGTTTGCATGACCGCAATCATGTGAATTGAGGCTAAAACTGATACAAAGTTTGATGAGAGCAATTCAACGATTTAAATTAGTTTTCTAATCACATCAGTTACTTTGTCAAAAGAAAAGAAAAAAGAGCATCTCTTTCATCAATCATACTTGACATGCATCTTGGTGTACATACAGTTCTCAGTTTTCTGTCTTCCTTTATTCTTTTAATTTTTTTGTGTGTGTATTTATCTATGCATACACACAGATCTCGGATAAAGCAAAGTTCTAGACGAATAAACTTTCAACTTGGCTCAAGTCTATTGATATTATCGTACTAGTGGGAATGATATGGTTGGAAATATTGTGTATATTTTTATGCATAGGCTTGATAAAAATAAATCCCGCACTTTTTGCTGCGATCAATTTTTCGTTTTTTGATTTGGTGAATTCTTGCATTGTTTTCCAATGAAGAGGATTCGAGCATTAATATTAACTTTAATGGTGAGACTACTGGTTTTTCTTCAAAATTGATGTACATCATTTGATTATTTGGACTCTGGACTAAATTGTTGAGGCTGATTTTGTCATGGATACCATGTGCAGTTTTTATTATGGATGCTCACACTTTCGAGATGTATACCAGCTCATTGAACAAGAGGACAACTAGCAGACCAAAGAAGCTCTCACGGTGCAGCACACACCCTCCTCGATCAAATTTTGACAAGGAGGATCAAGTGAACAATGGAATAGGTGATGATCCAAAGAGTTAAACTGGTTTAATTCTACTACATACTGTATGTTGATGATTGCTTCAGTAAAAAATCGATATTTTCGGTAGACTAGAGATGGCTCTTAGAAAATGCATGAGTGTTCACTAAACTAAAATACACTTATCAGATTGCTGGGGTTATTGGTTTGGATTTAACTTATTTACCTTGGTGCCTTTAACTTTTCAGGTGAAACTTTTTACACAACTTCATTACTTGCAAAATTTTGTTAACTCAACATTTAATGCCCTTCCTTCGAATCAAGTTAAAGGTAGGACCACTAAATCATACTATTTTCATTGCGTCTTTATCGCCTTGCTGAACACAATGGAGTGAATTGTCTTCATTTGCATTCTTGCGTTTGACCTTGCAAGTCAGTTTATGCTAA